TAACATTAAATCATATACCAGTGATTGTGATAAATAAATATAATAAAGAATGTAGCGCTACACCCAAAATATATATGCACATTTAAATGGAAAATTAATATATAAAAAAATGTGAAATCACAAAATCTCATAAAAAATATATATATAAATGTGACAGTGATATCAATTAATATTAATTAGTGCCCATAAATCATAAAATCAACACAATAAAATAAATAGCTCAAAACATGTGAAAAAACATTTCCATATATATATATATGTATAAATCACGCATACACATATATATAATAATAATCACACGTGCCTCTTGTGAAGTGAAATAACCATTAAAATGGTACAAAACAACAGTGCTCTCAAAGTCCAATAAATATTGCTGCTGACCAAAGAGAAAACAGTGCTTCCAATAACTACTGTTAGTGACCATAGGTAAAACTCGTGCAGATCTCTGAGTGCATATAAATCTGAGAATCCGACCACCATCTGGATAAGCCTCTCACCTCATCCCTTCGACCCTTGCGGATCAAAGAGCAGTTGTGGATCCCCCTCACGGATCCTCCAAGAAAAACTATCACTCCAAAGGTTGTTCTCTCAGAAATAAGTATTCCCACTCTGGCTCTTCTCCAGGAAAGTATTGCAGCATCAATCAGAGCTAAAAACTTTTTTAGAGTGGAGTAGAGTGCACCTAAACCATCCCACATTTTATCACTCACATTCAATGCACCTCTACCTCATTGATAAAATAAAAGTTAGACATACACTGGTTAGGCCTATTACACCTGATTAAAACTGTCTGTCTTCTTGCCATTATGTTTCCACTGCTGCATCCTCTGCAGTATCTTAGTTCTTGTAGTAAAGCCTAGCCTGTGCTCTTTATCTCTGGTATGCTTTAGGCATATCCTTCCTTTTTAAAATAGCCCTGCTGCTGGCCAATTAAACAGCTATATAATCTGCAGTCTCTTATTTTTTGTAGTAAAACACCTGCATGTACTCTTTTTCTGTAATACATTTTAGCAGTTTCTCTCTTCTTAAAAGCATCCTGTTGTTGGACAATTTTACACTGCTGCATTATATGTGGTCTTTAAATTCCTAATGTCAGCTTGATCGGAATTGTCCAGTGTTAGAACAATTTGGTTTGGCATCACGGAGAACAAGGACAGCCACAGCAAACTATTTCTATCTGCTAAACAAAGCAGGCCTATTACTATTTGGAGAAGAAGCATGTGATGCTGCTAAGGCTACCAAGAAAAAAAAAACTTTTTTTCAAACTGAAATGAATCAGAAAGATTGTGGAGTTATGCTGTATGTTGTGGTATGTAAGCTAAGCTAATTGTATAAAAAAAATGAATCAATTCCACAGACAAATATGAACTGCCAGTGTAAGCTGTTGCTAAGACTGTATGTGAAAATTGTACGGTTTCATAAAACCACGTACAACTGTAAGCCTTGCCCCAAGCTTGTTATTTAAAGGACTTATGTATTTTTAAAGTTGTGCTCAAAGCTGCGTGAAAAGACCCTCTCCCTTCAGTATGATATATTTTTTTCATTGATACATGTCCCCCATGGCAGTGTCCACTGTCCAGTGCTTTTTCGAAAGTAATTTGCCTATTAGTCATAAAAATGGCCAGATTCGCCCTCCTCCATACTGTTCAATAGGATTCACCTCTAAGTTCAGGTCTGTCAAATTTGAATCAAGATTTACTGCCAAACTGCTGGTAAATCGAACCTGGACGGATATACCCATCACTAAAAATGTCTAGCTTAGATTTTGAAAGGTGGTTTGCTTGGATTTTAGACTAGGTTCACACTTGTGCAGGTTGGTGAGGGGGTGGGACAAAGTGTAATTTGCACCTATTCAGCACCTGCAACCACCCGCAGTCAAACCGGGTTTGCTCTTTTGCAGATGCATAGAGCTGCCATTCATTCATTCCTAACGGCAACCCCAAGCTTCTGAAAATGCAGTGCGTGCTCGGTTGCGGGAAATCCCATGGTGCAAAGGCACCATACGTTTTCCCTCCAGCTGAATTTAAAAAAAATGTAGGAACCTTTATCCTGCATCCCATTCAAATGAAAGGGCTTTCGTGCCCACGAAAATGCAGCTTGTGGAGCCGCTTAGATATGAACTTAGCCTTACAGGTGAAACTCGAAAAATTAGAATATCGTGCAAAAGTTCATTTATTTCATTAATGCAACTTAAAAGGTGAAATATATGAGATAGACTCATTACATGCAAAGCAAGATAGTTCAAGCCGTGATTTGTCATAATTGTGATGATTATGGCTTACAGCTCATGAAAACCCCAAATCCACAATCTCAGAAAATTAGAATATTACATGCAATCAATAAAACAAGGATTGTACATAGAATAATATCGGACCTCTGAAAAGTATAAGCATGCATATTTACTCAGTACTTGGTTGGGCCCCTTTTGCAGCAATTACTGCCTCAATGCGGCGTGGCATGGAAGCTATCAGCCTGTGGCACTGCTGAGGTGTTATGGAAGACCAGGATGCTTCAATAGCAGCCTTCAGCTCTTCTGTATTGTTCGGTCTCATGTCTGTCATCTCTCTCTTGGCAATGCCCCATAGATTCTCTTTGGGGTTCAGGTCAGGCGAGTTTGCTGGCCAATCAAGCACAGTAATCCCACGGTCATTGAACCAGGTTTTGGTGCTTTTGGCAGTGTGGGCAGGTGCCAAGTCCTGCTGAAAAATGAAGTCAGCATCCCCATAAAGCTCGTCTGCGGAAGGAAGCATGAAGTGCTCCAAAATCTCCTGGTAGACGGCTGCGTTGACCCTGGACTTAATGAAGCACAGTGGACCAACACCAGCAGATGACATGGCTTCCCCAAATCAACACAGACTGTGGAAACTTCACACTGGACTTAAGCATCTTGCAGTGTGTGCCTCTCCATTCTTCCTTCATACTCTGGGTCCTTGGTTTCCAAATGAGATGCAAAAGTTGCTCTCATCAGAAAAGAGGACTTTGGACCACTGAGCAACCAGGTCTGTTTTTCTTTAGCCCAGGTAAGACGCTTCTGACGTTGTTTGTTGTTCAGGAGCGGCTTGACAAGAGGAATATGACATTTGAAGCCCATGTCCAGGATCCGTCTGTGTGTGGTGGCTCTTGATGCACTGACTCCAGCCTCAGTCCACTCCTTGTGAAAGTCCCCAACACTTTTGAAAGGCCTTTTCCTGACAATCCTCCCCAGGCTGTGGTCATCCCTGCTGCTTGTGCACCTTTTTCTTCCACACTTTTCCCTTCCACATAACTTTCTATTAATGTGCTTTGATACAGCACTTTGGGAGCATCCACCTTCTTTTGCAATTACCTTTTGAGGCTTTCCCTCCTTATGGAGGGTGTCAATGATGGTTTTCTGCACAACTGTCAGGTCAGAAGTCTTTCTCATGATTGTGATTCCTACTGAACCAGACTGAGAGACCATTTAAAGGCTCAGGAACCCTTTGCAGGTTATGGCTTAATTAGCTGATTAGAGTGGGACACTTTGAGCCTAGAATATTGCACCTTTTCACAACATTCTAATTTTCTGACATTGTGGATTTGGGGTTTTCATGAGCTGTAAGCCATAATCATCACAATTATGACAAATCACAGCTTGAACTATCTTGTTTTGCATGTAATGAGTCTATCTCATATATTAGTTTTACCTTTTAAATTGCATTACTGAAATAAATGAACTTTTGCACGATATTCTAATTTTTTGAGTTTCACCTGTATATAGCTCCAATAAAAAAATTATTTAAGGAAAGACAAAGGTTAACAATCACAAACTCCAGAGAATTATCAGCTCTAGGCAGCTCAGACACAGCTAAGAGAGTATGTAACAGTGAAAAACAAAAAAATACACAGTCACTTGTTACTCAAATAGAGGAGAAGCTATGTGTTCAAAGCCTTCTATCAAAAACATATCATTCCAAGCTGTAAAAGAATGGAGGTGAATAAAAATTCTTTACTTATTCTAACCAGTTTAGGAATTAAAAAGCCATTATTTAAAGTTTTGCATTGAGATGAAAAGGATTGGAACCCCTGCAGGATTTGTTGCTGCTATCCAGGGCTTCATTTTAGATTTTCCCCACATGTCCTATGCTGGTGACAATTGTTTTACCACCAGTATGGATATCTGGGCTCAGTTTGCAAACAGTTTTGTCAATCTTGCTAGAAGTTTGCAAACTTTGCAGCAATTGTTATTTAAAGCGGAGTTCCACTCACACTGTCAAAAAATAAAAGTCAGCAGCTACAAAAACTGTAGCTGCTGACTTTTAAAAAAACAGCCACTTACCTGTCCCTCGGTCCCGTGGTGTGTCCCCCGCAGCCTGTTTCTCCGTCCTGTATTCCAGGAGGCCGGCATCTTCAGTGTGGGCACCCGGCTGTGATAGCTTGCAGCTTCACAGCCGGGTATCCACTGTGCATGAGCAAGTAGTGATGCACTTCATGAATGGTCCTGTAGGCTTCTGCGACCTGTCACGTGTCCCAAAAGACTACAGGGAGGGAGGGAGGACACCTTCCGCTTCCGATCGCCTAGGCGATCAGACCGGAAGTGGGTACCTGTCAAATTAGGGTACCTGCCCCCCAAAGGTGCCAATCCTTAATGGGGAGCGGCAAAGCAGTCCTTAAAGAGGAACTTCCCCTTTAGGGTGGAGCTCCACTTTAATTCTGCCCTGCTTTAGGGCTGATAAGCAAGCCTTTGTCAAATTAAATAAAAGCTGGAAACTGCCATGGAGGTATGTACTGAAAAAATTAAGAAAGTAATAAAAAAAAAAAGAAAAACTATCTCTACCTGCACAGAACTTCCAGTTATCCCCAGCAGCTCTGACACAAGTTGGCAATATGGCTGCTGTGAGCCCATGATTTAATACTAAGGGGCTGGGTTATCTCTTCCTTCAAATTATTGGTGTTTGTGACCATGGGCGGACTGACCATTTGGAAACTTGGCACTGCCCGAGGGCCCGGGGTCAGTAGGGGGCCCCATGAGATGCCCCTGGTACCTTTTTCATAGGTTTTTTTGAGTTTGGGCAAGGACACAGGGGCCCCATGAGTTGTCAGTCCGCCCCTGTTTGTTACTCATCTGACCAGAGGAAAAAGCTATATGCTGTAGTTAAGGGGTTCCTTATTTCAAAAGGGGAACCTGCAAAAGTATTAGGACGAAAAGTCATGAATCTCCAACAACAACACAGACAGAAATCAGAATGCTTTTGCATTACAGGTTAGGAAAAGGCTAGAACCCCCGTCATATTTCTACTGCTGTCCCTGTGCAGATATTCCCACCATGGTTCTGTGTTGTCATCATTCCAGTAAGCTCCACCATCTTTAAACAGAGTAGAACTGATCCACGTAAACACATAAGCGAGCACAATCTTATTCAAGATTTTAGCATTTACAAACCTGTAAAAATGCTAATTTCTGTCCATGGAAAACATCTTGCTCTTATGTTGTTACACTAACAATTAATTCAAACAGATTAATATATTCCTGGGTGCATCACAATGCAATGTCAAAAAAGCAAATAAGCTTCTCTACATTAAAAAGCAAACTTTGGCTTTACTATCACATAAAAGCCACAATTACGGAATACACCTTTAGGCGGGAGTCTTTGTCAGTTATATTTTGAGTTACATATCTTTGTATGAATTATTAAATAAAAGCCCTATTTGTCCTGACTGTATCAACTCTGCTAAATGTGTTAGGGTAGAATACAAAAGCTAAAACCTATAAGGCGCAGAACTTTTACATCTTTTAAAATTTAAAATAGGCCGTGGGACTTAAAGCAGAACTCCAACCGGATAGTAGAACACCGATAATGCAGTTATGTATGATTTTAAAAACATATTTTTTTTTTTTAATGCAGCTAGCATGAATACTTGGATTTGATTTGATTTCAGTTTCTTGCAATCACTTGTACAGCAGCATTGAGACTGGAAGAGGGAGGAGCAGGACTATGAGACAATCAAATGTTCTGAAAGCACATGTTTTGACAAGGGAGGTAGAAGAGAGCAGAGGGATGCCCTCATTGGTCTGCTGCTGCTCTATCACTGTCCAATCACAAATGGGGACAAGGAGATGACCTAGTTGTGTAGTGTAGCCTCCCTAGTGGTATTCCCGAGTGTAGCTCGGGGTAAAGTTTCAGTACCATAAGCGGTAACCCCGAGCTACACTTGGGCTTACCATGCGGCACTGCTCCGGGATCTGTCCTCCAGCGGATGCCGGCATCTGTCTTCTGGGTTCCATCCCCTGCGACGTCGGGACGTACGGGGGACGGAACGGCGGGAAATTTGAAAATTACAAAAAGTGACATTCACTAAAATCACATAGTAAAACATTACTGTATCAAACCATTTCACATACATGTTGTCCTGAGTGCTTCGTCCTGTGCCCTGCCTGCATTTTTACTGTTCTTTCTGCCTGGAAACTGAGAAATGTCCATGGCATCCAAAAAGCGTCCCTTTAGGTCAAAAGTGGTTTTAGACCAGCTAGAGAACAGCGATAGTAAATCAGAACCACTTGCAGAATTGAGTGATAATGATTTGTGGGGAAATTCATCATCAGACACTGAAAACGATTTTGCGACTTTGCTCAGTGATGTGTGAACTTGGCGTTATATTTCAAATTTCAGTGTTTTTGGTTTGATTATATTATTGAATTAAATTTATTAATATTATATTATTTTTTATGATTCTTTATTAAATTATAATTTATGATTTTGACATACCCGGGATGTTTACTAGACTCTTGTTCGGACAGATTTCATTGAGTTATTCCTAAAAATTACAGGCCTACAATAAAAAAAATACATATTTCCATGCAAAAAATGTACCGCTTTGAGCACAGAAATATGGACATAAACAGACCGCTAGGGAGGTTAAAAGTGGTTGTAGAGGCTGAAGGTTTTTTTTTTTTTTACCTTAACCACTTGCCCTCTGGAAGGATTTACCCCCTTCCAGGTCATTTTTTGCTGCTTGGCACTGTGCTACTGATGCTAATAGTTGCACTGTCATGCAATGTTGTACCCAAATGAAATTTATATAATTTCTTTCTCACAAATAGACCTTTTTTTTTGGTAATTATTCATCTCTGAGTTTTATTTTTTGCGATATGAAGGAAAAAAAGACCGAACATTTAGAAAAAAATAACCCACAATGGTATAAAATGCTTTTAATGCTTTTTGCTATAAAACATCTTCAATAAAAAAAAATTAAAAAAAAATTTCTTCAAACATTTTGGCCAAAATGTATCCTGCTACATGACATTATCGTTTAAAATATTTATTGAAGAAACAAAGTAAGTATCATACTCACAATAGACATAAAAACACAGAGCCAGGTTGGCTCTGAGAAAGAGGTTGTGTCCTCAAAACGCCAGTTGGTCATCCAGGGTTCCATCGTATGCACTCAGATGTTGTTTGGATCATACATTTTGTTCAGTTTGACATGCCTGTGTTTTTATGTCTATTGTAAGTATGATACTTACTTTGTTTCTTCAATAAATATTTTAAACGATAATGCACTAGGTCAGTGCGCCCTTTTTCTGTTTCTCCATTTACATCCAGTGTATTTGGACCACCCCGGTCTGTTGAGGGCAGCAAGCAGTGCATATTCCAGAATATTCCAGAACATTCCTATTGGGTCCACTGAGTCTTTTCCTAGCGCAGGAGAAAAGTGTTTGTTGGTTTTTAGTAAAAAAAAAAATCCCAATAAGTGTATATTTATTGGTTTGTGTGAACATTATAGCATCTACAAACTATGGGATACTGGAATTTTAATTATTTTTTTCTTATACTACTTTTGGTGGCAATCAGCAACTTAAAACGGGACTGTGATAGTGCGGTGAGCAATCTGACACTAACTAATGCTGAGGGAACTGACTAACTGCCACTGACATCACCAGTGACTATATAACAGTGATAAGTGCTAATACAAATGGTAATAACCTATGCGCTGCTATGTTCCAACTATAGTAATAATATCAGGGAAGAAGATTGCTGCACTCAATACTCTGGTTTACTCACACTCAAAATTAAATAAATTAATAAATAAAATGTGGTGCACTATCTCATCATAAATAGAACCATAAGCTTTAGAAACACAAAGTGACAGTCCAAGAAAAATTTTTTTTTTTTTCTCCAATAATAAATGTCCAATCCAGTATCTGTTGTGTTATCATCCAGCAATAATCAACACCATGCTTGACTTGTGACCTCACTCCCTGCTCACCTTGACCATTGACCTATGAATTATAATAGGCCAAAAACACGCTTTATAAGGAAAATGTGTCTCCAACATTTCTGATCCGTGACGTGCTCCTTCCATGTATTATGCTTCTTTAAACTCTAGATCCGTGCATATCCGTGGATATCTCAGATATCCAGTGGAATGAAGGTGTATATGATCAAACATAAAGAGAATAGATCATAGTGCAACCCCATAAAATATGAACACTCACAAAAGTAATGAATCAAAAGCATATCACAGTCCCTGAAGAAGTCATGTGACCTGTGATGTGACCTGTGATGAAACATGTTGGGTGGAGGACACGTCTGGTCATGCCCAAACCGGCACGAGTGATGTGAGGAACCATTTTGATTGATGGCTGTGATATGCTTAGTAGCCACTAAGGATCGGCAGTGGATAAGCAGGATCTGGTTTCATACAAGCATGTATGATCTGCTAGGTCAGGGAAGAAGGTGAGTGCATGGTGCACCTACCCGGAGATGGGAAACACCACAATATAGTCGGCATGGTGGAGAAATGCATATATGTTCGCTATAATTCAGAGGTACATATAATTTGTTTAATGTGAGTGATTATTGTAACACATTTAATTTTTTATAAAACACTAGACTATGGTATGTTTTTGTTTTATTTTGCACGGATCTGGAGTTTAAAGAAGCATAATACATGGAAGGAACACGTCACAAATCAGAAATGTTTGAGACACATTTTCCTTAGCATGTTTTTGGCCTATTATAATTTATAGGTCAATGGTCAAGGTGAGCAGGGAGTGAGGTCACAAGTCAAGCATGGTGTTGATTATTGCTGGATGATAACACAACATATATACTAGATTGGATGTTTATTATTGGAGAAAAAAACATTTTCTTGGACTGTCACTGTGTTTCTAAAGCTTATGGTTCTATTTATGATGAAATAATGCACCACATTTTATTTATTTATTTAATTTTGAGTACTAATACTATGCACTGTCACTGCAATAATGAAACTGGGCAGGAAGGGGGTAACATCTAAGGTGATTAAGGGGTTAAATGTGTGCCTAACAAATGTTTATGTGTTCCCCGTGTGCTGCTTTTACTGAGAATCTAGTTGTGTTCATTCGCTGCTTAAAAGGGAATGAAGAAATTAATTGGTCCACTGTCACTGATCACATCTCTGTGTTGTTTACATTCACAGAGCTGTGCTTAGTGATATACCAAGCCAACCACAGGGTCCCAGCGGTCAGTTGGCATGTGCTGTAATGAATCCCAGCAAAGTGCGGGCCGGTGGTGCACACCCCCCTGCCCAAGTGCTCGGATCACGTACTGGGTATGTGATCCAGTTCAGTTGGGCTGCTTTGCTGACGTACATCCTCCTGATGTAGTCAGCAATTGGTTAATGCATTCTCTGCAATAAGGTAAAAAAACCCTCTATTGTCAGCTTCACCCAAGCGTCCAAAAGTATTTACTTGAGTCCAATCTCAATCCAATTCTTTGCCTGAGAGAGAAATGCTGCTCTCTCCCTCCTCACTGGGCTCAGAGAGAGTAGCAGTAGCTATTGGCTCCTGCTGCTGTCACTCAAATCTAGTGATGGGGACAGGGGCGGACTGACAACTCATGGGGCCCCCAGGCAATAGGGGATCATGGGGCCCCTGTGTCCTTGCCCAAACTCAAAAAAGCCTATGAAAAAGGTACCAAGGGCATCTCATGGGGCCCCCTACTGAACCCGGCCCTCGGGAAGTGCCCGAGTTTCCAAATGGTCAGTCCGCCCCTGGATGGGGAAACCTGGGTGGGCAGGGCCAAACTACACTGTGTGTGTGTCAATGGACACACAGAACAGGGCTTGGGATCAAGCCTGCAAGTGTGCTACCAGAGGAAGCAGTATACACAGAAGAGGAGGAGCCAACAGCACCAAGGGATCTTAGAAGAGAAGAATTGGGGCGGCTCTGTGCAAAACCATTGCACAGAGCAGGTAAGTATGGCATGCCTGTTATTTAAAAAAACAATCTACATTACAATGGCTTTAACTACAGTAGAACAAAGTCAGTTCACTAGCCTGGTTGTACTGAGCCTTTAGCAAGGATGGATCTAACCTATTACATTGTTCAGGGGTAGAAGTGAACACTTTGCAAGATATCACTGCAACTTCAATGTTTCATCAGAAATGCCAATGTTTTATTAATGATATTATCATTACTGCTGGTATTATGTAACATTTAAATATATAAAAATAGCTTTTATATATATATATATATATATATATATATATATATATATATATATATATATATCTTACAGTGCATCACAAAGAACACAACAGTTTCTGTATTTCCGAACCCACTGCTGTGAATACATTGATGAATAAAGTTTACCTTTCCACCCCAGTTGCTGAATAATTATAATGCATGGCTATTATTGCATAATTTCTTTATGAACAATTTATGCTTATGTTGAATGCAGATTACGAGAGTAATGTTTGACTGATGGCATAATTACAATTTAGGGTGCTATTTCATGCGGAATGAATGGGGAAATTAACGGTTACAGTCATTTTAAACGATAATGTGATGCAGGTATTATGAGATTATGATACACGCAAACATTGTGAAACATTAGCTTTTGTTGTGACTTATTCTTGTGTGGACTTCCAATGGTTACTTATAACATTTTCAGAGTGTTACAAGTCATAAGTAACAAAAGTTTGTGTCAGAGAAGCTGATTCTGTGAGGCAAGAGAAGAATCTTGTCGCAGGTGGGGATCTCTATGGGTAGCATCAGACATACATATGAATGAGGCAACATTCAAACCCTTTTTCAGTATGACCACCAGTTCCTACACTTGCCTTTCATGTATATTTAAGATTGTCTTCCACATATGCTAAAATACACCAGGGGAAAGCAGTGTGGTTTTACAGAAAGGGGCACAACTTACATAACATTACTAAGGTTATTTGCTTTTGACTTTACATTTTTGAGTTTTGTGAGTGCATTGTGGAGAGCATGTAGGCAGGTGCTGTTTATTTTCTCCACTACAGGTGGTGCTCAACTACAGCTGCATTGCAGAGGGTGAAGAAACCAAGAGGATCATGGTTTCTCTATGGTTTCCCGGGACACTGGGGAAGCTATATGCTTGGATGCTGCCACCCCATGTGACTTTGGTGGCTATCTTGGGCCATGCAGTGTCTATTTAAGACCCTGTTTCCCAGGCCTGGCATGCAATTCTGTGTGTGGGTAGGGTAGGGACAGGTCATGTGTCTGTCAGGGACAGTATTTAGCGGCAGGGAGAGGTTCCAGGTGAGAAGGGGAAAAGCAGGGACATGCCATCCTTCCTGGAAGCCACCACTCCTCGAGACAGACGCTGTTTGTGCACCCAAGGCCTACTGTTATATTCTTCACTACAACATTCTGTGAGTGCACCCAGTTGGGATTTCCCCACGCCAGAAAGTTCTGCCTATTTGAACTTTAACTTCAGTACAGTCCTGTTACTTCAACAGGACTCTGAGTATTTACTGCTTCCACACCACACCACAAGCATACCCTATCCCCTTTCTGCTGTTGAACGTCTGGTGCTAGGGGAATTAATAGTTTCTGTGTAGCTGCTGTGAAAAAGTTCCCAAGGAGAACCCACTCCTCCTTTCTCCTTCATTAAGAAAAGTTATTTCATTGCTTTCACTGCAAATAACACGATCTCTGAGCAGGGAAAGAAATACTTGACTAGTCAGACTCTACCCCATTCACAGTAGAAGTACTTAAAGGGTGTTTAACAAAGGATTAAGGAGTGGGTTCTCACCAGGAAACTTTTTAACAGTAGCTTCACAAAAGAATCCCTTCTATTAACCCTTGCTTTACTGGATGTTCAGCAGCAAGAAGAGGACAGGGCATCCCTGCAGTGAAAATTTCTCCAGGAACCAGCTGCTTGCATGATGTGAGACATCCTTTATTAGTGTTAAGGTAGTTCACTAAAACTACAGATTTTTTTTTAAACTAAACTTCATCTTTGATCTGCCATTGACTTCTACCTTCCAACTCTTCCTCACTCCATCCAAAACTAAAGAAAACGATTGTTCATTTGTGTTAGGCTTTATTACTTATCTCCTTGTGTGACAAAACAGGGAAGAATTACTACAGCACTTTTCCAAAGTCCTTCTATTTCCGTATCATTTAGCGAACAGGCACATGCCTGCTAGTTATAAAGAACTGTTTTGCTGTAGTTCATCAAATGAGAAAATATCTCAGAGGTTGAAGCTGGTCATGTTTACTGCAATCAAAGTATTTAGCGGTGAAAGTGATATCTCCGCTCTGTTTATAAAATGCAAGATTAACATAGAGGAATAAACACCAGGGAGTGCAGGAGAAGTATCCCACTGATTTACCATTAAAGCTAGTCCTTAGAAGATTATTCAAAGCCTGATAGAAATAAATTGTTTATATTTTCCTGCAGTCACATATTCAGCTGAAAAGTGTTCTGTTTAAACAATTCTGTACATAAAAAAAACCATATTAGGCAAAATGTATGTGATTTACCTTCTCCAAGCAATGATTTCCCTTCAGCACCAGAATAAAATGATAAAGATTATCATTAACATTTACAAGTCTTCTCTGTGGAAGGATTGTTCAGGCTCCATTCTATAACTGCGATTTCAATGGGATTATGTTTGATCCGGCCTCCATATTCTCGTGCTATGCATAAAATCACACATCACAGCAGGTTACCTGCCACCAGGGTGCTAAAAATACAATGCGCAGCACGCTGATGACATCAATAGCCTGTTTAGTCCTTCTAGTAAGGTGACAATTATTATAAATGTTGCATGATGCAAAAATGCATTTTTCTAAATACATATCTATTACTGAGTAAAGATATATTCCGCAGGTAGCAGAAGAGTGAAGAGTATGCCTTTCTTAGGTGACATGAAAATATTCAACTTACTGAGAACATTATCTAAAGAGAATATCTCAAATAGATAAATAATTGCTGCAAGGAATGAGATTATTTAAGCCTGCACTGTATGTATGCCATCACGTCGTAGACCATCAGTTTAGAATAAGATGCTGCTCTGTGGTTTTAGGTTTATCCTTTACTTCATTAGAGGGGCATTTTTTATATAACATTTGATCTCATATTTTTATTATTGCCAGAAAAAAGAATAAATGGATGGATCAAAGTGGTATTTGGATAGATTGTGGTTGATATTAAAGCTAGAGCTATGTACAAGGAACAAATGACTCTTTCATTTGTAAACTACATGGGAGAAATAGCTCCTTATTGTCTAATTGTACAATGCTCCACTGATGTGATATTAGGTGCTTCTTCATGCCACCTATAGTTTACACAATTGGGATCCATTTGTTCCATCTGTTTAGGTATTAATCAATACTCAGCCTATATCCTGTGGTGATATTAGTGGTGGAATTAAAGTGGTTGTAAAGGCTCAAGGTTTTTTACCTTCATGCATTGTATGCATGAAGGTAAAAAACCTGTGTGCGGTAGCCCCCCCAGCCCTACCTAACTCTCACCTGAGCCCCGATCTCAATACAGTGATGTTTTTGAGAGCCTCAGCTGTCCTGTGTCTCTCCCTCCTCACTGGCTGAGACAGCAACAGGAGCCATTGAATCCTGCTACTGTCAGTCAGAGCCAGTGAGCCAATGAAGAGAGAGTGGAGCCAAGTCGCATCTGTGTGTGAGTGGATATATAGAGCAGCGGCTCTATACAAGTCTGCCCAGGTGCCCACAGAGCATGTTGCTTGCTGTGGGGGCACTTGGCAAGAGGGAGGGGCCAGGAGCTCTGGCAGAGGACCAGAGAAGAGGAGGATCAGGGCTGCTCTGTGCAGAACCATTGCACAGAGCAACTAAGTATACCATGTTTGTTATTTAAAAAAAAAAATACCTTTACAATCACTTTAAGCTACTAAAAATTAATTCTGTAGTCCTTTTTCTAAAGTATATCTAAAATCAAAGTGTTTATTTTTAGTTTAATATGGAATGGTGAAAATTCCTGTCCGATTTATATTATCTGTGTCTAATTTAGGAAAATGACCTGTTTCCTGTACCACAGCCACAACAAAAAGTAAGAGGAAATGTATTCCTTTTTGTTGACAGCTCAGAATTTAGAATTTTCCTCATTCTCAGTGGTTATTAGGGCACAAAGAGAGTGTAAATGTACCTACTGGCAACACTGACAACAATATAAACTAGGTGAGTGGCAAAAGCAGAAAAGATGATATTCCGTTAACTTTACTTTATTAAAAATCTTGTATAAAAAAAAAACAATTCTACATGATTCAGAGGTTTAAAGAGTCAATCTTCATGAGGGCTTGGTACTGTTGAACAAAGCATGTATTAGATAAATAAAATTGTTGGGGTTCTGAGGAGTAGTTGATATGACCACTTTAGATGCTGGTTAAGGCTGCTCAAAGTCACCTTTGGCATATGGAGAAGGGTGGAGCAGACGCACTCAGACACCTTCAGCACTATACCTATCTCATACAAAATTTCAATACAAGTGATTTAAAATGCACCTTCATATAATAGCTGTCAGTAATTTTCTACATCAGTATAGAATTTGTTGTTAGACTACAAAATATAACATTTTGTTATGGTAAAACCTTTAGACAGACAAATTTTTTTATAGTTTGTATAGAGTGGAAAAAGTGACAACCTTGGTCAGATTTTTTTAACCCTGAGACTTCCCCTTACTAATGTTAGCAGGAGAGGAAACCAGGTTCAAACATTTCCAATGGTGACACCATAAAAACATTTTTTATTGGGTGGGAAAGAATTAGATCTTATTTTAGGTTTTTAACTGCTATGCAAAATCCTCTAAGATTGTCTCTCACTTCTTGTCTTGAAATAACAGGATTTTTGAAGTGGTTGTGGTCAATAGACATGTCTTTTTGGTATATACAGTATGTCATTGTGTCTTATTGCTGG